TTGAAATGTGTTGCTGATAAACATCAGAATCACCGTGTCTCAGACACCTTATATTCTGTGTATGGGTATTAGTAACCACACAAGATGAAAACACTCCTTGGAAACATTTTTTGTTAAAAAAAGCATTTTAATTGCCTTTACACAGAGAAACCAAAGAACCCTACAGAAGTGCAGCTCTTTATAGTCCACAACCATATTAACTGCCATGTATGTAAGACCTACATCGACATACTTTAGTGAGATTTTTCAAAACCCAATTTTGAACAGCACACCCCTATTGAACATTACAAGCAAAGCCCCCGATCCAGCTTTAGTTGCAGCTAGCATCCCTGGATGGACATGCACTTTCTCATCCACAGTGAGGACCAGATGGTTGTTGCAAAGGAGTAGCAAATGTGTACTCAGAACTCTATCCTTCTGCATATGTAGATCCCAATCACTAGATCAGGGTGAACCATTTGCTCTGAAGCAGAGAAGCCCACTATTCCAGAAATGTAATCCCATCCCCACTCTGCTATGAGCTCAGCTGCCTATTGCTTTCCTGGCTGATCTTTCCCTAACGGATTTGCTTATCTCAGGCAGCATAAGGGAAATGAGGATAAAGACAATAAGCTGACGTTATTTTAGCCTAGGAATTATTTTCCTCCTTTGCTTCCTAAGCAACAAACATGGGAAAGTTCCCCTCCTGACTGGGAACAATGGGAATTGCAGGGCACTGGGCTGAGAAAACCTGACAGAGCAAATAAAAATGCAGTTGATGGGAACTGTGATAGTGCTAAAAAAAAAAAGGGGGCGGGGAAAGCTTTGCAATTTGTGACTTTTTAAAAAAATTTGCTTTTTTGCAGTGTCTATTCTATACTAAAGTGTGTTTCTATTACAGCAAACCAATTCATTCATTGCCAATATGCAGCTGTTGCCCTCTCCTACGGCTCTAAGTCTTCTTCATTTCTGGCTCTACCTGGTTTGCTACTACTACTTTTAATGGCTATGCAATTAGATACTCTACTACCAGGTCCATCTCCTCCTACCTAGCAGCAATATGCTTTGCCTTACATTTGAGGAGGAGATGGCAGCAGTAGTGCTGTGGGTCACAAAGAACCCGCAGGCATGTGAACAGGACAGGGCAACCATGTTTGATTTATCATAGAGACTGACACTGATATAAAAACAACGCTCACAAGGCCGTGGGCCATCTTTATATCAGGTGAGGGTGTCCTGAACATAAAGGATATGGGTTCATGGCTTGGAGGCTGAGAACACCTACAGACTAGGTCTTTCCTTAGTAATGCGTGTGCAAACATCTGAACAAAAATATAACCCATGTAAAAGAACTTAGCTTTGCTTAATATAGTACAATCTGTTATGTTTACTTTATACTCCTGTCAGATTACACTGGCAGACATTGTGATAAAGTCTTGGGAAAGCATGCCCCCTATCCCAGGATGGGCTACTAAAACCCCCTCCCTGTTCCCTGAGCCCTCCATCCTGTCGTCCTTCCCCCTCCCTCCCCCGAAAGAGCAGTTTGCTGGATTTAGGCCATTAGCGGTAGAGCTGCTGTAAGCTGAGAATGCCCTAGGCGTGCACGCAGGCATCTCTGTCTCCAAACAGTTAAGCCTTGGGGTAAACGGTGACAGCTTCGTAACCCTCCGGGGGCCTCATGCGAGCCCTGGCATGCGTTTCACAGTATAACTGCCCCTCCACGAAGAAGTAGCCTTTCTGCTTCAGGTTGAGATTGCAGTCGGAACAGACGAAACATTCTGGGTGCCTGAACTTGTCACGGGCTTTCACTACTGTGCCACTGTTAAATGGGAAAAGACAAAAACCAAAACCCAGAAGAACAAGTCAGCTGAATACAATTTTAAGAGGCTAGGACAGAGAAATCACTGAGAAGTCTGCTGCTCAGGTACCGGGGGGTCAATAAAGGGTGAGCTTCAGTCTTCCCCACCTCTACCGAGTTCTTGGGCATGGCTAATCTCTATGCCGTTCTACAAGCGTAGCTTGGTTAGATTCCCTACTGAAGATGAACTTCAGCAGGAGCGAAATGAAACATTAAAAAAAAAAAAATCAGAAAGCTTTGCCCACACAGGATATGTTGCTGTTTTTCATAGCATTGCTCCACGCTTTCTTCTTGTCACCTTTTAAAAGTATGTCATATTACTCAAATAAAACAAATGTATACAATGTGCCATTAATAATATGGCATTTTGATTTCATTTGTGAGGTCTCTTTAGGAACCAGTGGTTTTGTTTGTCCTCTTTCCTTTTTTTTCTGTTCCACTTTTGTGTCTGATCTTTTACATTTTAATCCAGTGGGGAAAAACTGAATTATATTTATTCTGGGAGCATTGTTTTTGGCTCAACCACAGGATATAAATGATGGATGTAAACAAATAAACACAACCTTGTTTAAGATTATAAATGAGAAATACAGGTAGTCCTCACTTAACAACCATTCGTTTAGTGACCATTCAAAGTTACAATGGTATGAACAAAGGAACTTACAACCAGTCCTCACACTTACAACTGTCACAGCATCCCTGTGGTCATGCGATTGTGATTGGGCGCTTGGCAATCAGCCTGCACTTACGATGGTTGCAGTGTCCCGGGATCATGTGTTCGCCATTTGCAACCTTCCCAGCCAGCTTCTGGCAAGGAAAATCAATGGGGAACCATGTGATTCACTTAATGACCGTGTGATTTATTTAACGGCCATGGTGCTTAGTTTAATGATTGCTGCAAAAAAGGTCATAAAATCGGGCATGACTCGTTTAACAACTGCTAAGCTTAACAATGAATTTTCCAGTCCCTAATGTGGTCGTTAAGTGAGGAGTACCTGTATCTCTTTTTATAACAGGTTGTTACAAGCTCTTTTGAAAACTGATGCTACAAATCTATGATAAGAAAATGAAGTATCTTACACAATGCCATTTCCACACTTGTCACACAAAGGCACTTTTGGCACACTTCCCGCACCAGCACCCGTCTTTGTGACAGGTGCTTTTACACTCCTTGTCCCACTGGGACGACCTTCTGCAAACAAAACAAAGCAATATACATAGCCTTGGGTTACTTTTAAATATCTACCATTAGAAATTTAAAATATATAAACATTTGTTTGCACCCAATGTTAGGATTTCTTCATTATAATAGGCATTCTCTTACAAATAATTTGTGCTATTTTACAGTTGAAATCTGCATACGTAAAACCATTTTCAGTTCCTTTACCATTCTGTTATTTATTTATATATATACCTCTTGATTTGCAGGGGAAGAAAATATCTTGTTTTTTCATATTCTTTCTCATAGGAATGAATGCCTTACATCATGCCTATTCTACATCGAGGGATTTGAGGGAAGAATGGTGGATTGCCACTTACCAGGTTCAAACAACGGTTTTGAAGGTGGGAAAGAAGAAACTGAGGAGTATTTCACCATTTCTTCTTATAGCATCTACCAAAAGCCTGTCTCTGAAGCTATGATTTTAGTGGAAGAGTGAGATTTAATCTGGGATTCTTTCCCCAGATATTATGGTCCCTTGCAGAAGTAATAGGGCTTTCATAGAAAAGTGAAAGACAGAAACACTTAGAAGTTGTCTTTTAACTATCACTTTCCATCTTTAAGATAATCAGAGGGATACTACTGCGCATGACAGAGAATGAAAACGATGGGACAGCTTAATCACAGAATTCTTAGCTAGTTTAGTCCTTTGTTTAATAATTCAATACACTGGCAAAAGACCAGTCAGTCATTTCTGCATTCAGTGTCAGCAGTGTCTGCAGGGAGGAGGTCAAGAAAGTCAAGATGGCAGCAACGACCATGTGATCGATGCCTTGCCTCATTTTACATGCTTCAGGGTGCCATCTTGATTTTTTTTTTCTGCTCCCACCGGAGGATGCCCCCGTTCAATGTTAAAGAACTTTTCAAAATTCACTATTAAATTTGCTATTATTAAGATAGCCTTCTCCGAGTTAGTGACAAGAGGGATTTTGCTCTTCTGATCCCACAGCTAGCTAACACATCAAAAGAGCAATAGCTTAATGGTGTCTGGATTAGGATATATAAATTCCATGTCAGCTCTAAACACACATTGTAGTAAATACGTTTTTAATGAATTATCTATTTAAT